TCTAAATCTACTGTATATGCAGTTTCTGCTAAATCTACTAACTATGCTATGTACATTTGTTAAACAATTATGCAATCAATCTCTTTTAGGTTTAATACATCATTGATTAGTTTCTAATCATTACACTGTATAGTTAACAGTTTAATAGTTAGTTCTAACTGCAAGTATTGGTTTCTGTTATAGAAAATATACATGTAACTACTTTAAATTATTAATTATGATATTAGTAGGACCTTATTTTAATACTAAAAAAACAAAAAAACAAATTTAGATAAGTTTTAATTATTATAATAAGTTTAGATTACAGATAAAAATATTTGAACTTTTATTTTTAAATATAATTTTTTTTATTTATACTTAGAACAATAGTTATATAGTTAGTAGTTTAATAGTAACTTTAACTGCAAGTAATGATCTTAACTATAATATTTATATAAAAAATTACTTTTTGTATATAGCAATTCTATTTAGTTGCTAACTTTTAAACCATTAATAAAAATATAAGTAAGGTCTCATCTTAATATTAAAAAAAAATTAATTTAAAATTTATAATTTTACTATTATTAGGATTAAAAAATCAGTTTTTAAAAAATCTAAAAACAATTAAATTAGTAAAAAATTTATATGTTATATAAAAAAATTACTACTAAAATTTTATAATAATAATCTATATATACTTTATTTTTAAGTAATAAAATAGAATAAAATATTATAATATATGCTTATAATGTTTAATACTATAGAGATTTGCAAATTAAATTTTTATAAAAATAAAAAATAAATTTGATTATTTTAGAATTAGAACAAGGCCTAAGATTTTAGCATAATATTATATATATGCAAAATTTAGTATGAAATGTTTTTATTTAAGCTGCAAAAGCAATTTAATAAGTGAAATTTTTATATATTATTGTCATAATTTAATATAAGAAGTACTAATATAAGGTAACTTCATATATTAGACCTTCTAATGCAATCTTTAAATTTGTACTCTAACAATTATATTTTTCAAAATATAAACTAAAAAATCTAAACTAAAATATCTAAACTAAAATATTCAAGCTAAAAACTTCAAACTAAAAAAATTTAAACTAAAAATTTCAAACTAAAAAAATCCAAACTAAAAAAAAATTTCAACTAAAAAAAATTGATTTTTTAATCAAAAAATCTGTTTTTTTAAAAATTTAGAAAGGTTATACAGCTGATAAAAGTAATACAGTTGACAAAAGTAATATAGTTAATAAAGATAATATGGTCAATAAAGGTAACACAGTTAATAAAGACAACATAGTTGACAAAAGTAACACAGTTAACAAAGATAACATAGTTAATAAAGATGACACAGTTAATAAAGACAATATAGTTGATAAAGATGACATGGCTTAATAATTTAATTAGAATATAAATATATATATACTTATATATATACTTTTATAAAGTTTAAAATTAAAATAAATACCTTTTTCAATATTTTTTTTAAGGTGAAGGATCTTTTTTACAGAGTAATGCATAGTGCTACTTCTGGATATTTTAACAATTATAGTTTTATTATTGTTCATTAAATTAACTATAGTTCCTGTTTTATTAAAGTTAGTTTAAAGTTTTCTTTTTCAGGTTATTGAATTTATATTAGTATCAGATGCTATTGCAATCAGCTGACAAAGTTTATAAGAATTATTGTGATAATGAATACTTGATAATTTTTGTATAAATTTTTTAGTTTTTTTAAATTGACTATTAATTTTATTATAAATTTTTAAAACTTTTTCTAAATTATTTTTTAAGATTTGGGGTGTTATTTGTGCTTCTTTCATTTCTATTTTCTGAAAATTGATAGAATTAGTAGCATTAAACTGTTAATATATACCAAAAAGCTTATATTTAAACATAGCTTTACAGGATGTTTTTCTGTAAGTACTATGCTAAATGATATTATAAAAAAAAAAATTTAATAAATAGTTTTTTCAATTAATATTCTGTAACTAAAGTGTTTCATTCTATAGTATTTTTATAAATCTATAACTGATAGTTTGATTTAAATATTTGATTTGTTCTTAAGGCATTAGATATCTAGATTGTATTGTCGAATTGTAATTTCAAGACTTTACAAATATGTTTGATAACATTGGCAGTAAATTTTTTCTATTATTAAATTGTAGAATTGATAATGCATTCCATTATGCAAATAGAGAAATTAAAGTTTTATTAACAATATCAGTCTCTTCAGAATGGTCTACAAAACTTTAAAAAAGATACAAACTATTGTAAAAAAATTAGAAAAACCTATTATTTATAATTTTGTATGCTATAAAATCTACAAGATCTTTTGAGGGTATTTCATTAGATCATAACTTACAACTAGTGTTTAGTTATTTTTTTTTTTAATCAAAGTAGTTCTATTACAAGTATTGCAATTTCAAATATATTTATAAACTTTAGTTTTTATAATATTAATATATTGTGTTATAATTTTTTTATAATAATTCTTTGCATTAATATAGTAATTATTATCATAAAATTATCTATACAAAAATAGACAAAACTTCAAATCTCACACAGATACAAAATGTCAAAATGGTTGATCTTTAAGTTAAATATAAAGGTGGTTATTTTTTAGTCATCAAAGATCTATATTATACTTAAAATTGTATCAATATTTTAGTTTTATAGAGATTAGTATTGTTCTATTATAAAGGTAACTAACAATATTTTAGAAAGTTTCTGATGTTTTTGAAAAATTAACTTTATAAACTATTATATAATTTTTTTAAATCATGTAATTTTTTATTTTTTTTTAATTATGAATAGGTTTCTTATAATAAAAAAAATTTTAAATTTTTAAATTTTTTTTGCTATATTTTTATAACTATACAAATACATTATCATATATAATGTATATATTATTAAAAAAAATATAATAATAATAAAAGACTTTTTGAGCTGTATTGTATAAATATAAATATTTAATATCATTTTATTATATAGTCAAAAATGTGTAAATAACAATTAAAAATTTGATATTTTAATATTAAAAAACAAAAAGATAATAGTAATAAATGACTCTTTGGGTTGTATTATATAGGTACAAATATTTAGTATTACTTTATTATATAGTTATAAATATGTAGATAACAAGTGAAACTTGATATTTAAATAAAAAAACAGTTAAAATCAAAGTTATCTCTTCTTCAAGATAACTATAACAGTTTTAATTTTTAATGCATTATTGCTATTACTTTATATTTGAAAAATCTATTGATTATTGTAATTATTATAAAAATTACAATCATCATGGAATTATGCTTAATTCAATAGTGGTATATATAAACATGTTGCATATATATTATTTTTAACTTATTATTTTTTGCAAAAAAATTATTTAGAAAATTGATTTTCAGCCTATCATATTATTTTTATATGGAGATATTGATATTTTTAAATATTTTAGATATATGTATATATATGTGAAACCTATTTGAATTCAAAAAAATTATATAAGTAATAATTACTAATAACTATGGAATAAAAAAATTTAACAATAAAAACAATAGTAAAAAAGTAAACTACAGAATTCTAAAGAAAATAAACAATCAAAAAAATAAGATTGAAATTAAAGAAAATAATTGAAAAAAAAGGTTGAGATAAAATAAATCATTTGGATTGGTCACCTCATAGTAGAAATTTTTGATGACACTCTATGAATACCTCAACTTAGAGAAAACTCATCTTGATCCCTCAGATTTATTACACAACTGATCTTCAATTTTAATTGACTTTTCTAATTAAATTGTGTTGAACACCTATAGTGCATAATAGTAAACTTATATAAAATTACATAACCATTTTAACATAATAACAATATATTATGCAACATCACTATATCAAAATATTACTAAACAAGTATGCAATTAACTATTAAATACAAATAAAATGTTTAATTTATTCATGATTTTTTAATGGTTTTACAATGGTTTTATAAGCAATTCATAACTCAGAAAACAATCAATTAGTCATATAATTCATACAATTCAGTTTTATTATATTTTTAATATTTAATACTGCCAATTTTGGATCAAACTTTATAAACTGTCATCATTTATTTTTAATAGTCACAAAAATCAAACAACCTACCTATACGCACTAGTAACAATTGCTACGATTTCATTAGTAAATTTTTGAGTATTTTTGACAAACTTTTATGATCGCCGGGTCATCTGTGCATTTTTTGTGCAGCATCCACAGTGTGGAACACCTTAAACCAGCAAGTATAAAAAATTGGGACCAAATTTTTTGAACTTTGAATTTTACAATATCAAAGTGTAATAACTTAAAAATAATTCTTGTAACTTTATTCTTATGGTTATTCTTTACATTTTTACAAAAAAAAAAATTTTGATTTAAATATATTAGTAATTTTCGTGATGCATTTAAAAATCAGCTATTTTATTTACTGGTTTAAGATAGGTTTAATTACATTTAGAAATGAGCACTATGCTACATGGTGCTAAATTGTCACTTATTTTAATTTATGCATCCGTTGTGATTTTCATAATTATAATCATAGGAACCGTCGATGTTACACGATAATCCTTACCCAGGTGTGCAACATATAAAAAAATTATTTTACAATACCATATCATTCCGCTAGTACATAATCCACACCATTTTTATTATAATAGAATGGTGTGGGGATTATAATAATAACATGTACTAGTGGAATGACCTGGTATTGTAAAATAATTTTTTTATATGTTGCACACCGGGTGAAGGGTTAGTCGTGTAACATCGACAGTTCCTCCTGTTTAATCATACACCATTAATTTCAAACATGTAGGTTGCAATAACTCTTGAACAAGTAAACCCATACAAATAAAATTACGTTTGTCGGGTTCATTTTAATGTACTCTTTAATGTAACAACGCCTTTTTTTTTATTTATTTATATTGATTGAAGAATAGTGAAGGACTCAATTTTCATGCAAATTGTCGTTTTGGACAAATTTTTAATAAAAACATCGAAACCGTAATTTTAAATTTTTTGTCTATAATGATCGACAAAAGATTCAAGGTTACGGTTTTGATATTTTTATTTAAAAAAAAATTAAAAACGATCAATTTGCATAGAAATTGGGACCTCCGCTATATATAAATAATTAAAAAAAGGCGTCGTTACTTTAAAGAGTACATCAATCTACATTTTATATTGTGAACAGTAGGATGGTAATGCCGGAAGCTCGTTTAAGCAGGTGATCGGTGTGGCGCAGTAACGAATAAACGG